TATTTATTATATTTGTTTTTATAATAATTAATATATATTTACAGGCTCTTGTTAAAATTTTTATAAAGCCTTTTACTCCACGGGAAATATCTTATAAAGAAGACTAATCTTTAATTTATCATTATCCATGAATTTAATTTTAAGATTAATTCTAAATCATATAAATAAATATAATATAATCGTCTTCTTTATAAATTTTTATTAAATTTTTTTAATTATTTAAATAATTTCTTTTTCTTATTCCTATAGGCTTTTTAAAATCTTTATAATATATATTTATTTTATTTTTTTTCATAATAAAATAAGCTTCTCCGTGCAAACATAATAAATTCAAATTATTAAAATTTCAAAACTAGTTTCATGATATAAATTCAAGATATTTCTAATATGATTCTTTTATATTAAATATTTTAATTATAGTATTTAAATAGTCTTTATAGTTATCTTTATTATTTTCTAATATTATTATAAAGATAATTAACTTTTTTAAATAAGTATTTTTTTTCTAAAAAGGTTTATAAATATATTTTATAAAAGCTGGTTCTTATTCTATTATTTTTTATAGTTATCTTTTCTTATGAATATAATAATTAATTATATAATAATTCAAATTTTTATAATTAAGATAAATTATTATTATAATAAAAATTATAAACTTACATAATAATATTTATAAAAATATATTAAGATTATCTTTTCTAATTTTTGTAGGGTAGTTTAATCTTATTATAAATAATATTAATTTTTTATAAATAATCTAGTTATTTATTTTATCAGTTAAGATTTAATTAAATTTTTATAAAAAGTATAATTAAATTTTATTTATTTATAGAAAAGATTAACTGTTTATAAATTCTATATTTAATTATTTTAAAAAATTTAAAAATAGATATAATTATATTATATTTAATTTTTAGATTTTATTATTAAATTTTATTTTTATTTTTTTATTATCAAAAAAATTTAGGGTTTTTTTCTTTTTTCAAAAAATAATTTTAAGAATTTATAATTAAATCTCTTATTATTTATTATTATAATTATTTAATTATATTTCCAGAATCTCATAAAATTTTCTTAATTATAATTATAATAAATAATTATAGTTTTTTTCTTCTAAAGATTATTAAAAATGTAATCTAAATAATTAATTATAATATATATTTCTTATTTTTTATTTTATTATTTATTTTTTACGGTTAATTCCTGCTAAATAATAAATAGTTATTAAATAATATAATATTTTTGGAAAATAAATTTAAATATTAAAATATTTAATATTAAAAATAAAAAATTTTTAATTACTTATATCCCTGCAGATTTTTTTAATTTTATAATAATTTCTAATTTTAATTTAAAATCTATAATTTAGTTAAATAAAATAAATTATCTATAATAATTTTTTAAAAAGATTTATACTTTTCTGAATTTTTTTATAGATATTTTTATATTAATATTATAAACTAGTAAATCAGAGAATTCTAAAAATTCTTTGTATATATAATTTCTAATAATTTATATAAATATAATTTAATAAATTATCTCACAGATTTTAAATAATAAGATTATAAGAAGGAAAGTCTAAAATAATATAAAGAATATATTTTTAACTTATAAATATAAATATAAGAGATAAAAATTTATTCTAAAATATTATTACTAACTCTCCTAATCTTAGTTATAAATAATCTAGTATTGTTTCGCGATGACCTATAAGTCATGTAATACTTTAGTAAAGGCTCTCATAGTAAGACTGATATCAGCATGGGTATACCTTACATTAAAGGATATCACAAGGGTTGTAGGGATTTAGGTCCTTACATTTCCCCTCTTATATTTGATATTCTAGTTTAGATGCACTAAATGAGATATGTTTGATCGGCCGTCACACTTGTTCTAAAGATAATGTATTCTTGGCATTAAAAAGCAATCTCTAACAGTTAATTAGATAAAGAATTGATTGCTAATTATTATAGATTCATTTAAAGTTAATTTTTATCTATAGATTAGATTAATTCAGAAAAAATCAGTAGCTCAATACCAAGCCATCAGTATTTTATAATTAATTTATGAATTATAAAATAATTATCAATAATCTTATAATTACCCTAACTATTATAGTACATTATTCTGGCGATCCCGGCCTTGACAGCTGGCTATTCTATCACATATTTTCTCTATAAAATCTCTTTTATATTAATTATGTTACTTATAATTAGATTAATTTCTTAATATAACTTGTCTCTTCAGGTAAAGGTAAAGAATATCTAAGGGTATACTAAATCAATATTCAGGAGGATAAGAAAATAAAAATTAGAAATACTTAAAAGATGTGCCGCAATTTAGATCCAGGAAGACGAAAATGAAAATATAAGAAGTGTTTGAAAGGCGCGCTGAATCGAGAGTCAGGGAGGTTAGCTTATATTATTGTAGTTCTTCATGCTGTCACTGGGATTACAGCTAGCTGACTGCTCCAACTCTTACAGCTAAAATAAAAACAAAAATCTAAAATGATTTAGAATATTTCTGCTCTTATAATATATTGATAATATAAAAATAGACAATAGATTACTGCTATAATCAAAGAAATCAGATATAAGCTGATTAGGATCTCTAGCGTGGCCTGCAAGGTGCTCTGATGGAATCCAATAAGATATAAGAATAATTAGTAAATGAACAAAGGAAATCCCGACAAACAAAGGGAGTGATAGTTTTCCTTACTGATATCAGTTTCTTCATATCAAGTAGCCAAATTTTTTATTCGCAATGGGGGTACAGACGACAAAGAAAGGGTGCCGTTGAAGTCACGGCCCTTAGATTTGTCCATGTTTTATCATCCTGAGGCCTGAACGCCTCCAAGGGCCAAGCCTATAACGGATGTGCATCTGAGCCAATGTGGCCCAGTTACTCAAGGCTGTTGCCGGATAGCATGGGAGGTGGGCAGAAGACCTCCATGGAGCGCACCTAAAAGCGATCTTACATGTAAAAGCGGTTCTCGCGGTTCATACAAAACCCCGAAATAAAGGACTGAGGAATGTGGCCAGTGAGAGTTCGATTTCTTGGCAGCGGGAAAAGCCTTAGGTATAGAAGCTGCCTGAAATAATGATAACTATGTAGCATCGGACTTCTAACACATTACTGCCAAGCTTTATTCTTCTTTAAGCCTAGGCCGACCTTCCGCATGCCATACAATAAGACATGTGTGATACTCATGTAACACGATATACAGGAAAGCGTAGTTGGAAGCCTAAAATATACCGAGTACGGGGTCATCCGATAGTGGACGCACAAGTCCTATAGCAAAAAGAAGCCGCCAATCAGATGAATCTTCAATTCACAATACCTACAATTTAGTAATCAACGACTAGGAAGGATATCAGCCAAACGTTGAACATACCAAACTATAATGTTTACCCTTTCGCTTTACCCATGAATAAGATTAAAACGTCCCAGTGATAAGGCCTAGCTGAGAAGCTGCGTGGCGTTGTGAACAACTTGCATATACTGTCATTTGTTGGCTAACGACACTACTTTTGACATAAACTTATCATACTTGGAGCAGTGGCACCGTGAACCCAAGATGGCAGAGCAACCAGAATCCATGACCAGCGAATAGCTAGAGCTTAAACGCTCTCAAGGACCTGTTCCTTGAACTCTCTCTCAACCTTGTGTCCCTTGTCATCGGTTGTAGACTCGCCATGCAAGTTCAGAAGCGCACCGAGGTCGAACTTGGGAGACTTGAGAAGCTTGACCTTGCGGATGTGGACCTAATGGAGCATTAGATGAGTCGCAATTATTTAATAATAGATGAAGACCGAGGGAAACGAACGTTCTGCAGGGGGTAAATTCCCTGGGTAGCCTTCTCAATCTCACGGCCGATAACTTCGGGAATGAGCTTGGTAGTAAGCTGAGCGAGAGAGCAGCTAGCGGCCTCGCGCTGCATGATCTCGGTCATCTTCTTGCGGATAGCGCGGATTTGGGACGAGCGAGCATATGTAGTCTTCTTGATCTGGTTGGGGCGTCTCTTCGTGAAGGCGATGGCGAACAGACGGAGAAGATAGTCATCGGTCGTCTTCACAGTGACGTTGGCTTCAATCAGCGACTGCCACTTGCGCACAAGGGATCGCAGCTTGTCGGTCGTGAAATCCAGACCGTGGAAGTTGGTCAGGCAGTTCTTTCCCTGGATCTCATCCACGCGGAGCTTGACCTTACGGAAGGCATGGTCCTCGTCGTTCTGCAAGTCGGCAAGAGAGACCTCGAAGATACGGCCCTTCAGGGAATCGTTCGCGTTCTTCAGACCACTGGTACGGTTCACCAGAGTCTTTCCAACACTTCAACAAAGGGAACGTCAGCGACTGGTTTGCACAGGGAGAATGCGAGAAAAGATGTCTATAACGAGGCTGAATAATATCTGAAAGTCCTGACGACGAAATGGGGGGAGGGGCGATGCCATACTCTCTAGTCTGGAAGGTAGAGGGAGCCTATTCTTGTTAGCAAAATCCACAAACTCTCGAATCGTCAACTTACCTTAACAGAGTACTCATCTTTCCGGGTGAAAGGGTCAACAGTTCTCTTCTTAACACCCTTCTTGCCCTTCGACAAGCGCTTGTTCCTGGCATGAAATCAGCAAGAGCGCAATACGGTCGAATTGCTGCAACTTAAATTCATAACAGAGTAGGGCGTTCACATACTTTCCAACGGCCATATTTGCGACTCGTGTCTATCTTGCGCGGCTTGAAGACAGACTAGGATATCACACCACACGCTCTGGTGGAGGTGAGTCGGATCGATTGTCGCTGCTTGCTGCTTGCTGCTCGATCGCGGGATGAGAGTAGAAATCGAAATCCCACAGAAAAGTCGGCTAAGCGAGGCGTCGGCCCTATCCAGTTACATAATATTTGCGCCTCCACCAAGCCCCCCAAAGTCCACAATGATTGGACAAAACTTTTACATCACATGATTTTATCTACCCCGTTTCTACGGAGTATCTTTCCATAACTTGGACAGCTTCGAGATTGCAAGTGCCTGGTTGTACTGCTATAGGCTTTTCCCGAAATTCGCAGGTGTCTATGCTCGAGTCAAGTAGCTCAGTAAAGTACAAATTTTAACATTATGCTGTCTAATATCTTTACCTCTTCAGACCAGTATTCCGCAGATTTCAAGGGCTCTTCTCAAGGGCTCTTTTATTATCCATATATAATTCTAATTGTTACGACTTCGAATGCATCACATTACACAGCTACATAGTAGTTATATTCATACTCTGTAACGTACGGTGGTGTACTTTCCGCCCGAGTCAACCACCCGTGCCACACGAAAGCCATTCTCAGTTCACGGTATCTCAACTAGCAGAGATCTGTGGAATCTACATAAATCATACAAACAATAATAAATATTTTCGATCTTCTTCCCCCCACCTCGTTCTCATTTCATTTGTTTCATCTCCAGTGACTACTAAGGTTAACTTAGCATATAGGTTCTCTAGTCAATATATAACCCTTTATTGAGAAAGAATCTTGATAATATTCTGATACATATATTACCACCTAATAGAACCATTGGTTAATTCATAAATTACTAACTCATAATCGCCGAGATGTTATAGATATCACTTGTATGAAGTTGTATGGCTGGCCGATTCGGGCGGGAACTAAGTTAACCATTTGACTAGTCACTCTACATAGTTATTTTAATGTTAGTTAACTAACGAACGTTAACGTACCAGTCGATGACGATGACTAATCTACCGCCAGTCAACCAACTGGTTGCTTTTCCATTACCTTTGTGCACCGAATAGTGTTCTTCAGTCTCGGGGAGTGCATGTAGTGGATGATTAGGCTATACCTGTCTAGCCCCCCTCCCCGAAGATCCCTAGTCCTCCACTGAAGCACTCAAACTTCCTCATAGCCTGCACACTCAGATAAAATCGGTCCGGTCACTTGCTCGCACCGCTTTGTTTCACTAGATTTGTGCCTTCACAACATAAATTTGCCGCCGACTTTACAGCAGTTTCGTGCATTGCTCTGCTGACCTCACATCGGCTGTTGAGCTGTCAACCCAAGAGGTTCAAATTTCTTACAGTATCAAAGTACAGTTTGAATTGCCGGTCGCGTCACCCAGAAACTCTGAAGCATGGTATGCCACTCTACACATTTCCAATCTACCTTTCTCTAAGCTTTCTATGAATTTAGGGTAAGCGGAAGAAGTCGAGCAGGCAACCACAGCAACCTAGAAAGGTGACCTCCTTCTGATTCCTCGGCGTTACCGTCGCTAACACTGAGTTAGAGAGAACCGTTGCCTACGACATTTGCGTGCCTTTTCTGCAATCACGAAAACTCCATCGTCGTAAAACTAGACAAGAAACTTGGCCTAGGGAACCTGTCCTGCAAAGTCTGCGGTCAGCGATTTCAGACAGGCATAAACTGTGCGTGCATGATTTCTTCTACGTGAGTGGCATTTGCTTATGATATATACTTAGATCTCTCCGCTGCTGTTGATGTATACTCGGACTGGGTGGATGCCTGTGACGCGGTTGCCAAGGATACTGCTACCAAGTACGAGGATAATGATCCTCGTGTCAGACCTTCGAACGATTTCGCTACTTCCCCCAGCGCTCGTGATGTTGGGTTCGAGGAAGCGGATCGGAACGATACATATGCCGATGAATACTGACTCTGAACTTAGAGGATCCCGCAGCGTACCAAATGAAGTAACATTGAACTTGCGGCACACTTCTTAGTGGAAGATACTATACCCTAATACTGTGAATGGAATCCAGCTGCGACATCGTTAAGCTGTAAACGTGTACTTTATTCATACATTGTATGTATGTATATCATAGTGGTTTCTGAAGCCACAATCTTCGTTGGTATGGCTACAGCGTGTAATAGCGGTCGCCGAAGTCACCAAGCCCTGGTATGATGTATCTAGAATGGCCTTGATCAGTAATGTAAATGTAGGTTTTATAGACCCGAGATACTTACTTTTTGTCATCTAGGCCTTGATCTATGAAAGCAGTCACTACTCTGAGTTTTGGAAAGCGTTCAGCAAAATCTGCAACGCCTGAAGGGCTTGCGATAAGGTTAAGAAACAAAATGCGGTCCTCCGGAACCCCCTTTGCTTTCAAGACCTCAACGGCAAGTGTTGCAGAGCCCCCTGTTTTGTGTTAGTTCGTTTAGTGCGTTGAGTCGAAGAACTTGCCTGTTGCAAACATAGGATCAAGAAGAAGCACCCATCGATTTGCGATGTCACCAGGGAGCTTTTCATAGAACAGTTTTGGCTTGCAAGTTTCCTCGTCCCTCTGTATAAGGATTTTTCCGATTCGGACAGAACGACAACAATCTCTCAAACCCTGCTCCATCGCCTCTCCTGCTCTCATGATGGAAACGCCGCATATTTTCCCTTCGAACCGGACTCCGAGATAGACGCGACCTACAGGTGTCGTGACCGATTGTTCAACCACTGGCAGGTGATTGAGCCCCTCCTCCACCAGGAGGCGTATGATCCTGTTTGAGTAGAAGATGAAATCGGCACGGCTAGTCCTTCTATCTCTGATCATGCTACGAAAGGTGTCAGCAGAGGATACTGACTAGTGTTAGCTTATAAGTTTTGAATCGGCCTTCATCTTACGTCAAAAGAGCGATCAGCTGAGGGGACTGAGGTAAAACGTGGACATTTTCGTACGATATGTCTTTAGATACTGTCGCTGTGGGCTTTTCGCCATCGGGCCTGTAGATGGGGCCAACGCCTTGCGCGGGGGAGGGAGTGGCTTCTGACATCTCGTTCGTCTTGGCTATGGTAGCTTATCCCCGCCTTCCACAAATGAAAGAGACGAAAAGTGGTGAAGAAACAGGAAAAATAAAGATATTTGCAGCGAAGTAACCTGTTACCAAGGTAGAAGGGTTGGGTTGAAGTTTAGAGAGTAATGCAGGCATGTAAAGCTCAGGATAACAATCTGCGAAGCTAAAACGTTTCCTCATTGGTACAATAAATTAGTGGGACTACTTGAGTTGGCTATTAGTACTCCGTAGTCAATCGTAATACGGAGTATCACGGTAAGTACTGCGGTAAACTATCCATAGAAGTGGGTTCAACCACATGCAATCAGTCTAGAACCGTCCATTATCCTCTGAGAGAGCACCCAAGCTAGCCTGAAAAATCAACTTCGGCCCAAGATTTGGGTATGGGCATTAAACAAACGCCTTTCAAGTTCGGGACTGAGTTTCCGCCTAATTTAAAACATCTCGAATAACAATTGCTAATGAAAATATCCTCTTCACACTTTATACCATATACCCCTAGTGGGTACCAACTCTTGAACAGTGCTTTTCCCCGACCACCGTGAACCTTTAAAAGCCAATAACTAGGTGGTTCGTGGTTGTTCATCCTTCTAGCAATTTATGTCTTTTGGATCACTTTGCCCTGTGACTCCAAAACCCCATTAATAGAATTTTACGCAGGCACCCGAGGGTAATTTTTATAGCTGATCCGGTCGATTCGGCGACGTCGCTGTATACTGGGAAGCTATGACCTGGTATCGGCACTTGACCCTTACTTTAAGACAACGGAAATGTGGGATAGTAAGCAAAGCGTAAGTCAGTCGACGGATCAAGTAGATATCTATCGAGTATCAAGCGCGGAAAGTAGACACAAGGCTTTTTTCTTTCCGTTTCCCTTTCACCGTCTACATAATGCACTTTGACTCTAGACGTTATAAATGCCATTCCCCACACTAGAACAGCTTTCCTCTTGACTATAAATCTTCCTTTACCAACACGGTAAGACACCGCCTTGTAACTATGCAAATATGCCTTTATAAGGATAAGCTTATATGTAAATCTTCTGTCGATATGACATCATTGTCAACGTTCGCCTTCTCAAGCCTCCAACATACTTAAGGTGGACCCAATGCAGTGAATGTTGAACTGTGTCTAATGCTCAAACTCGAAGTAGCTAGATTTTATCGTGGCCTAAGTTTTAACCTTAGTTTTAATACACAGAAGTACGGTAGACTACATTTCCACAACTTCTGACTGTATAACAAAGGACACAATTCATATGGACGAGTGCACAATTGCATTGAGCATATATAACCTGAGAACTTGACCTTTTGGAAGCTGTTGAGTCAGTCCCGTGATTGAGAGAATCAGCGGATATTAGTAAGGTATTCTCAGTGAAATACGGAGTACCAATTAGTATGGTGGGTCAAGCCAACCTCGGAAGCTTGCATTGTACGGAGTACCAGATAGTACATAGTGCGATGTTGTAGTCCAGTCATCTATCTATTCGATTGTCCACGATATGGTGCGTTCCAACGCGATCTCACACCTGCCTTTAAAACATATGCCCACTCCATTTTTTTTTCATTGGCACTACAAGCAGATCTGGATGCGACCAACCTTTATCAAGCGCCTTGCACCCCGCTACGCTTGAGAGATAATAGACTTATGCGCAGTTGATTGGAAGTACTACTCCTAAATGCCCCAGAAAGATACGGCCAGAAGAGCTTCGGGGAGGCCTGGCCGTTCATCAGCGGAAGCGTCCTCTGGCACACGATCGCAAGCGGATAAAGTTACAACTGGGCCCCCGACACTGTTAAAAAAACGCAGTGGATCTGCAGGCTATCAACTGGCCCAAGAGCCTTTTACACCTCCGAATAGAGGCCTGTACCAATCCGAGCGCAGTCGAAAGAAGAGGAGGTATATGCATGCGGAGCAGTCACGGCCAGCCCTGGACCAAATTGACGTACGCGATAGCGATGACGCAGCCTCGGATATTTACGAGCCTAGATATGATTGTGCGGCTGATGTTGCTTACAAGTCTAATGATATTGAAGGGAATTGCAGTCCTCTGAAGGAATCCCATATTGAACGCAGAGAATCGGAGTTCCCTCACAACCCAGCTGCGTCTGTGTCACGACGGATTCGCATTGAAGAACAGCCCATCTCAGACGGTAGCACCCCCAGCCGGACCTTGGCGGAAGCTGGGCATGACAGGAGAACTGTCTCTGCTCGAAAGAGACTGGTTGATTTGCTAGGTATAGCAGTACCGTCCAAGGAGACTGGATCGAGTGGTTCTGACTTAATTGTAGCTGAAAACATACACTCAGAAAACTCCCGGCCTCTGCAAGAAACCGACATCCCTCGCGCAAGCCACTGTGAAAATCCGGATGAAGTAACAGATCATAGCTCCGAAAAGGCCATCAAAGCGGACACTCCGATGCTTTCCAGAATACGGGGCTCTAGGATCACTTATGCACGCCAACGATCGTTCTTGGGTAATCCACTGAGCTTGACAGCTCTTGAACAGCGGGACACTTCAGCATCCTCGCCACATCCTGTTGACGCAAGTCTGGCAAACATCACAAACACTGATGGTAACCAGAATTTGGTTAGTGACGACGATGAAATCGAATCTAGACCTGTCCGTAGCATACATGAGCTTAGACAGGCTGGAGATAACGCACGGTTTCGGGAGTCAGTTGAGGTGATATTTGAAGACATCGAGGATCCAAATAACTCTCTCTCTGGGAAATGTAGTAGCTTTGCACAGCTATGCACAAAACTTCTTGAGCATGCCTTTGTGCGTCGATTCTCTGAATATGGTTTCAATGAACGGCTTGTCAAGTGCATCGCGGATGATCAAAACATTCTCATTACGTCCATGGCTTTGTGTGCATTTAGACTAATCTGCTCGAATGGTCTTTTCTCTCACACAAGTCTGAGATCTTTTTGGGCCACAATCCTGGGAATGTCTCACAAGCTCCTTACTATGACCGAAGACATCATAAATATGGCAACTGAGGGAACCACCAGCCTGTCCAAGGTCGTGCAAAGATCTTTCAAAAAGACATTACCTCAGATTTCCTCTGTTCTTTTCAATGCGTCCCCATCGCCGAGCCTTTCTCCCTGCTTGGTGACACTTTCGTGCATCCAATTCTGCATTTCTAGCTTCCTCAAAAAGGGGGACGACATTGAACCTTTGCCCGCGACGCTAACGGAACAAATCGTCAACTTGCTGATAATACAATGTGACAATGCAACCTCCAAAGCAAGTCTCGAGAGCTATGAGTTATCAAGGTTGTCATTCTTGATTCTGGAATCTCACTCGATGTTACCGGGAACATCGGGAACATCAGCGTATCATCATCACAACTTTTCCCGGCTGCTTTTCGAGAACCATGGTAAATTTCTGCCATTTTGTCAGTTTGATCGGAGTAAGCAGATTCCTATGTTATATGCCAGGGTGATACTCAACCTTACAAATAATGTGCCTTCGCTATGCGAAGAGTTTGCTACTCCTGACATGGTCTCGGATTTTGTGGAACTTGCCACTACTGGGTTGTCTGGTGCATCAATGAATCGCAATGTGGATGAAAATGGATCTTTAAATGCCAACATTTTAGCTTTGGGTGTGCTCATAAACTTGTCGGAACAAAGCGAGCTCTCCCGAGCTGCCTTCCTAAATCCAGCTTCTAATTCTAAGTCACTACTCCAGTTACTTCTCGAGCACTTTTCCGCGGGGCTTGCATTTGTTGATCAGGTAAGAATATATCATTCTCAATTGGAGGACACATTGAGCTAATTTAGATAAGGCGCGCTCTGTGTCCGAAGTGCATTATAATGTTGTGATTGGATACCTCTCGATTGTTTTGGCTACCTTGTGTCTCAACGAGGAGGCATTGAATCAAATCAGGGAATCAATTCGTGGCGAAGGTCTTCTACTAGTCTTATCGACGGCAGAAGAATTCTTAAAGTTCCACCAGAAGGTTGAGCAAGACTCGCAGCTTTTTGAGAGTTCGGGAGAACGTGGAGGTAGATCAACAACGCGCTTGAAGGATGTCCTGAATCAGATACGCCAGAGAGCACGTCTATAAATAAAGCTCCGAGATATCTATATGCAATTTCGATTTTCATCCAGCCCAGTAGTTACTCCATATGTAAACTGTAACAATAAAGACCTGTTCTTGCAATGGTCGCTATGAGCGGCCTGCCCACCTATCCTTTGATGATCGCTACTTGCAACGGAAGACTGGAAAAACACAAGTAACAACATTCCTTTGTCAAAAGGATGTTTTTCAGTATTTATTGTACTTCTTCTGTTAGATTGCCAACCAGATTGTTTGCTGTGGAGGTTCCTTTGTAAATATAAATCTTGTTTTGACATAATAGCGATTCTGGTACTTAGCTCTGTTCTAGTTGCCGTTTGACTTGTTTGCGCTCCTGGATTGCCTATTCGCCACTTCCGGGTGAGCTCATCTGTGATCTGATTGCCATCCCTATCATAAGGGTGCTACACAATTAACAAAGTTTGACCACTGAGGCCTCTAACAAACCGTGGGTTCGTGCTTAGATACCTGTTAATGACCTCGAGAAGCCTATATCTTTGTGCGCAAAAATCTCTAATTCATTGACCAACTTCCGCAAGAATCGCCTTATATCTTATAGCCACTTTCCCGCTCTGTACTCTAGAAGATGCCTAGTGCACCGAAGCAGCGCAAAATAGCTATTGTTGGCAGTCGCTCTGTGGGTATGGCCTCCTATCTCTGTGACATTCCTTTGCTTGTTCGATCGCATCATGTTTACTAAAATATCTCCCAGGTAAATCTTCTCTTACAGTTCGATTTGTTGAACATCATTTTGTAGAAAGCTACTATCCGACGATCGAAAACACGTTCAGTCGAATCATCAAATACAACGGCCAAGATTATGCCACTGAAATCGTTGACACAGCTGGTCAGGTATGGGGAAAATTTGGCCTGAGCCTAGAGTCCCGTGGG